GCCTTCTTTTTTTCAGAACCTGTTGAATATGCTGAAATTGGGCATGAAATGTTGCTGACTTGATTAATCTATTTCTTGGTTCAGCTGAATTAATAAATGTGTTGAATTTAATAAATGTAAAAAGTCAGTTATATATCATCTGTCTAGAAAAAAATAACAAACAGTCAGCATATTTGTAATATATATTAATTTCATGCAAGATTGAAACTCAGTTAAAATGTGCGTGAATTAGCAAATCAAGCTACAGTATTTAGGTCACTGTTATAAGTTCGTCTCTATTTACAGGGCAGTAAAGAAATTGTTTCGCAAAGGGGACTCAAGTAAGGACCACAATGCGGGACTTGAGTAAAGCCTAAGGCAGAAGAGCACATCTGATAGGCAGCTATGTGATCTGTGCATCCTTGAAGTGGTTGCCAAGTGGTGCTAATCAAGCAGTGAATCGCGTCTGACTTCTGGGCTTTCCCTGTCACACTATTTTCTCTTATAGCACACTATTCAGATCAAAACGTAAGCATGCAGTATTTTCTAAAAACCATTCACAAGACAACAAAGGTCCTCCAGCAAAAAAAAGGATACCAGCTAGATATGCCAAGATGATAGTAATGAAGATCACCAGCACTCACAAGTGACCCTGATTAAGGGACCCTGCGCGGTCCCGAAACGTTGGCTGTTTGATATATGTGACGTCATTCTACAATAAAGAGAACTTCTGGATTTCTTCCATTTGTGAGTGCTGGTGATCTTCATACTATCATCTCTGGATTCGCACAGCGCCATCCGTGGACATCACTGCGAGCACCATTGCTATTCCATAGATGCTGTATGGTGTGCATGCAGGGGACACTTCTGCTGACAAAGCTAGATATGCTGGACTTGTTTCTCTGGGGAAGAGTGTGACAATTTATTTAATCAAAAGGAAACTATTATGGTTTTTGGTGATAATGACTTTATATTTTCATGTGTTCAATTTATTTTATTTTAGGCTAGGTCCACACCTAGACGACACCTTGCCACGCGGTCAGGAGTCGCCAAGGTTTGCAGCACGGATGTCACCCCATTGAAATCAATGGGGCCACCGGCAATCGCTGCCTTCATTGTACAGGACCGCGCAATCCCGGGATGCGGTTCCTGAGTGTCGTGCGGTGTAGTGCAGGTGTGAACCTAGCCTTACAGTTTGTTTAAAATCTTTATTTTACAAATAAATATTTAATAGAGGGTCAGTGACTGAGGAATAACAAAGCCATTTGGATTTTCTAAAGAAAGAGCATGAAGTAAAGTAGTTGTTTCCTTTCAGACTGTCTCTCTATATTTAAAACTTTGTATGAGTCTGACAGAGAAGGGAAAGTGGGAAGGAAGGAGGAGGGATGTGAACAACTATGAGCTCTGTAGTGAACAGGCTTTTATAAGATTAGTATTAAATGTGTGAAAGGATCCTGGAGCTTCACTTTCTGGAAATCAAATATAAAATATTAATATTTCATATAGACTTTACAAAAAATGTTTTGTAGTCCTAAACACAAATACATAAACATATTTTTTTTATACATGCTCACACTGCCATTGTAATTGTAGCACTTCTCCTGGGAGATTAAATGACTCCCTTAGTGGTATGCCAGGCTAGCATTTCCATCTCAGTTCTGGTTCTTGGTGTCGGTGCAAAATAAGTTGGCTATCACTCTAGTCTTTTTTATATTGTTTGCTGAACTTAATTCTAGTGTTTAGGGATACAGGATTCCCAAAAATTGCACAAAAAATAACATTTATATGCAAAGCATAAGCATAGCACATAGTGTTCAGTTGTTCTCTCCCCTTTGTGGAGCAAAATCCTGTAATTTGAAAAATGTGTGTCATGCTTGTGGTGCCATTCATTGTTAATAGCAACCCAAGGACGCCAAGCAAGATGCGCGCTTGTTGTGGTTAACAAATGCACAAAGCCGCAAAACGCGCATGAACTTCTTTACTGCTTTAGTTGTGCCAAAGGCGTGACATGAATTGCTACAAACACGCAACAAGACACATAAACATCATGTGCGATATCTCACTGTACAAGTGCGAATGGGGGCTAAGTGCCCTTGCATAATGCACCTGGTGTGAACCAGCCCCTGTGCATATGCTGAGGGAGCATTTAAAAAGTGTAGCTGGATTCTACAGTGCTTCTAACTATTCATACATTTCTGAGAATTTCAAAGCCCAAATGAAGTCACAGAAATACATTTTCAGTAAAAAAAAAGCTATTGTACTAACTACCACCGTTTACACAGACTTACCTTCATCTTCAGTTCCTGTTATAGCTTTATGTACGTGTCTATGACTGTACAGTCCAATAGGCACCAACATTTTGTGTTTTGCCCAGTGGACTCCAAAATCTAACAGGAATGACTAAACACACCCTGCCCATTCACCCTCACTACAATTCTGTTTAAGAACAATAGAAAGGAGGATGTGGCAATAACTTATCCATGCCAGCATAGAACACGGAGAGGGAGAGCAGGAAACTATTTTGAGTCATTTCCAATTAAAAATCAGTTATACATCATCATACATAGTGATACAGGGTTATTATTTAACAAAAAAGCATGAGACTTAAATTGGCCTTTAAAATACACCTGTGCTGAGACTATGAACATTAAGCTGGGTTTACATTGTTACGCTGCATTAAAAAAAATAGTGCATGCAACTTTGTCGGTGAGTTTGGTGCATTGGGCAGCCCATTTAAATGAATGAGGCTTGTTTTAAAGTAATCTTACTGCTTGTTCAGAAAATGTAAATACTGGGTTCACACTGTTGTTCTGCATAAATGTGTGTTACGTTAAGCCAACTCATTTATTTGCATGGGCTGCCTAATGTAACAAAACACACCAAAAAAGGTGCAAACACTATTTTTCATAATGGAGTGGACTACAATGCTTGCCAGTGCACAATGGTGTATTGTGGGGTGCTGCAATACATTCTGTCAGCAAGATGCATTGGGTTGCCATTTGTTCTGAATGTGACCGCATTGCACCAAAGTGCCTGACATGCATTGCAGTAATAGAGTGAGGACTTGGTGTGCACTGTCTAGGTGTAGGTTTACTTTGAGGACATGGTACTTACTATGGTTGAGCTTTAACCCCTTCGTGACGGGAGACGTACACTGTACGTCCAGCCACAAAGGGACCAAATGACTCGTCACGTACACTGTACGTGACGAGTTATTTGCTGCACTAGAAGGCTGCTAACCGCTGAGAATCAGCGGTTACCTTTCAGTAATAGATGTCTAACTATCTAGAGATCCATTACTGAAAGGGTTAACCTTTTTCAGACACCCGATACCTTAATATCGGGTGTCTGAGAGTCACAGCAAAGCAGACACACATGTCGGCTTTTGCCGGCATTCTGACAGCTCGTATAGATCGAGAGATATCTCTCTCAAGCTATACTGGCTTTTTTTTTTTTTATCTTTTGACTTTCAAGAATAGATACAAAATGTTATGTATTAGACACATAATGTATCTATTCTTGAAAGTAGAATGTTTAAGTTTTCTGAAACATTCACTGACAGCTGAATCCTGAACTGCTGCAGGATCAGTGTCACTAACTTATTATCGGCTGTTCTGAAGTTTGAAGCAGCCTGATAATAAAAAAAATGTATTAATTTATCAAGCAGTAATAGTGAGATTAATTCACAATGACTGCCTGATATAATTAAATAAATAAAATTTGTCAGTATAAAAAAAGTGAAAAGTGTAAATAAATTTAAAAAAATAGTGAAAAGTGTAAAAAAATTAAAAATAAGGGACAAATAAATGAATGTATGTATTGCATTTTTTTTTAGCTGTGCTGGTTTTGTTAAAAAAAAATACTACAAATCAAAACTGGGAAAAAAAGTTTTTTTTTACGTTTTTTCCTCTTTTTTTAATTTGTATTGGTCCTAAGTGAGGCGTTAGACACACATATGTGATATAAATATATAGCCCTATCTGTCCTCTAAAAAACAATATATAATATGTGTGGGTGCACTTTGTAAGAAAGTATGTTACTGACGTGGAAGAATCACACAGCAAAAATGTCAAAAGTGTGTCAGTCATTTACGAACAGAAACCAAAAACAAGCTCAGTCATGAAGGGGTTAAGATCTTGGTGAGATTTCAAGAGTCCATTCTGGAGTTTGCTGGTTTTTGACCCAGGTAGTATTCATATCTTCCAGTCATTCTGTATACACCACACTATTAGCTACTACTGACTAGACAACTACAAACCAGGGTTAGGAAAGGACTGCTAGGATGTCCAGAATGTAACAGCTAAAGCTTAAAAGTTGTGAATGCCACACTATTTAAAACTATACCCAACAGAGACAGAAAACCTTTAAATATCCCTACCTGCATTACTCACATACACAAGACACTCCATTCTTACAATGCCCAGTTTTTGCTTATACCATGTCCCCTTCAATATCAAGGTCTAACCCTGTGCTTTCCCCATGAAGGCCATAGCAACAGTTTCATATTAAAGCCCCTGCAGCAGGTTATACTTACATTTCGGTTGCTCCCCTACCACTTTATTCACTGCCAGGATCAGGGAGAATAAGTTCTTTGTAAGCTCAAAGTTCATACTAGTAGGGGCTTACTCAGGGCCTAGGACTTTCTCCCTGTCCCTATGTGATGTAGCTGGTTCTTAGCGTCTTAGTGCCAGAGTAGCGAGGAAGCAAAGGGAACGTAAGTATAATTTTTTGCAAGGTCCGCCACTGAAGTGAACTTTTTGCTCAGCTCCTGCATGGGAAAAGCACAAGTCCACTTTAAGACTTTCTTGAAAAATTCAGTTTGACTATAATAGGGGTAAGACATGTGCATTATAATATAGTACCAGTAATGCCTTAATGTGGATTGTAGAAAAATGAAACACAAAATAATCTACAAGAATGTACATAGGTATAAAGAAATAATAGCAGAATTGTTTATACCAAAAGGTTTAGGGAAACGTTGAATATGCACAATTTTACGACTTCTTTCCATACATCCTTACCTCCCCGGTGCATCAGGGTCAAAGCAAGTCTTGCTAGTATTCCCATGGTCTTTGGTTAAGCAACAGTCTCCATCATCATAGTCATCTCTTGCGGTGTTGCATTCAAAGTGGCATACTCCATCACCTTTCTTCCTAGAATTGCATGGTCTGAAGAACTCACAGTCACCACCATCATTGCCAGTAAGTAGATGCTTACATTCAGGATCACATTGGTCATTGCCGACTTTCCCTGGCTCACAACCAGGAAGCACTACTCGATTTCGTAGGCTAGAGTTATGAACCTCCATTATGTTTAGCTGCCAGCGAATGCTGTATGGGCTAAAAGCATCAGATAAAGCCTGATGTTGCCTCTGAATTTGCTCAGCACTTACCAAAGGCCTGGAACCATCATCTTTACACAGATTGACCACCCGGTAATGGACCTCTTTTTCCCATTTTGCCCCAGGCTGGCTATATCCAGCAGATACATCCGGCAAATCACATAAAGTTTTCCCACAAGGAGGAAGTAAGATGGAGGAGATCATGTCCTTTACTGGAACAAGCCCTGGTACAACTTCCGGATGCACCCCATCTCTGTATATGCTCCATATATTCCTGGACAACAATGAGAAGCTTTGTACTCCTAGTAAAGTCTGATATGGTCTTCTCATGGATTCAGTTCTCAACTGTTTCTGAGTCCTAACCTCTGACCACAGATGGAGGGAGAAGAGATAGCCTCGATAGTGGTTACCAGTCTCTGAGTTGTCTCCACCAACCAAGAGGGATCTGCATATTGATAAATAAGTACTATGAAGGGGACCCAGTTGATCTTCTGCTCTAGCAACTTGTACTCCATCCACATAGAGTAACATTTGTTGCCCATCATAGCTAGCAGCAAGATGACTCCAAGTTCCGGGGTTGTAGCTTTGTGGAGACAACAAGGTAGTAGCACTTGGAGAACGGTCAGTCCGGAGTGAGAAGTAGAAACGTGCATCTTTTTTTGACCCGAACACAGCAGGACGTATACCAATAGACCAACCACGGTCACTCACCACATGAGAGCAATTATCATACATGCCTGGTAGAAGACACAAAGAGGGATAGCTGATAAGGAGTTTGCATAGCTAAGCATAAGGGTTACATTTTGTAGGAAAATCACATTATAAAATAAAATCATCTTCACCTCTAGCCATCAGAGATCCAGTCATAGATGGCTGTGTAATAAAGCCAACTTGACTTTTATCCCAATGACTGCAGAAAAAAAAATCTCTTCACGGTGAATTGCAATTATAATGCACTTGCAGGTAGTCTCCTGGATTCATACTATCATTAGTTTCTCAAGGACCTAATCAACACATTGTAAAAACTACATTTCCCGAATCAAATTAAAGAAAAAAAATCTTCAGAAATCTGATGATTTTACAAACATTTTCTTAGCATGTCAAAACAGCATGACAATTGACATTTTTTTTTCTTTATAAAAGCACACCTTTTCCTCCACTTCCGCTATAAGCCAATTAAGGCTCCTGTGTATGTTATCACAATCTCATGTTATCTAAGTAACTGAAAGTCACAAATTAAGTGGAAAGAAGACAGCAGGAAGATCTCAAAAGCAGTGACTACCGCTTATTTAACCTTCTCCCGTGACCCAAAGCTCAGCTATTGCCTGCGATATACTGAGAGCGCCACAGCTGGGACGGATCCGGACAATATTGTTGAGATCTGAGTGACAGCTGGCTTTGCCTATCTACCTCTCCCCCGTTCATTCCTCCACTCAGCGCGGGAGAATCGGAGAGGGGGGATCCCTGCAGGGAGCGGTGACTGACAGTGACTGCTCACTGCAGGGAGACAAGCGGAAGTGAGTGGATTGGTGCATGTTTCTGCTCACTTCCCGATCAATAGAACCGACCTGTGACAACTTCTTTGTCACAGGTGGGCTCTAACTATGAGGATGAGTGGAAATCACTCACCTCATAATTCTCCTTTAAGTTAGGGTTATATTCTGTAAAGCAGGAGTGCTTAAAGTGAGTTCTGTTTGAATGAAGCCTGCAAACAATGTGCAACTTAATTCATAAATACATTGGAGAGAATTTATCAAAACTGGAGCAGACAGAATCTGGAGCATTTTTTTCAGTTTGTTCAGTTAAGACTTAAAAATGAAAGATAGAAGCTGATTGGATGCCACAGACAACTGCTCCAGATTATGTGTGCTCCAGTTTTGATATATTCCCCTCATTGTAACAATATTTTTAGAATGTATTTTGGTTAAAAGCTGTATGAATAAAGCCTGCAAACAGATTTTGTGGAGGTAAGTCATAAACGCATTGTAACAATATTACTAAAAGGTAATGAAAAGAAAAACAAATGTATTTTTCCTGTGATTTGCACATAAAGTCAGTTCTAGAGAGCCTGAAGTGTAAATAAATAAATAAGCCTTTGTTATACCTAATTAGTTCTAATTGGCACCTTCATCTGTTCCATCTAATAGATATTTTTGTATATGCGTTTTACCTTTTGAACATAAACCTTTTTTTTTTTAGTCTTTATTCAGTTGGACCAGTCTTGTAGCACTACAAATTAAAAAACAAATTACAGAATTGAAAGACGCCTTTATGTGTAAATACATTTATCATGGTTTGTAGCAGAAACATAATGTTGGTACATTTATGAAAGGGACAGATCACAGAATAAACATTGCACTTGCCAGAGGAGACGGCAAAATTATGCAAAGAAAACATTTTGGTATTTTAATGTTAATGAAAACCTGGTTGAGTTTTTACATAATAGTTTTGACTATTAGAGGGGGTTATTCACAAAAGGGTGAAGAGTTTGGAGAAGGCAGGAGAAGTGAACAATCTAGGACAACATAGCTGAACTGGAAAGTGAGCTGAATTGGAAAATGTTTCCAAATCAGCTATTTTGGCCTAGATTGTTCACTTCTCCTGCCTCCTCCAAACTCTTCACCCTTCAGTGAATAACCCCCTAAATTGCATAGAAGTGATCGAACTCTTCTCCACAATACAAAACTAAAAACGTTTTGGTTGGCGTTTCACTTTAATTTACAGTTAATGTTCCATTGAAATGTATGCCAAATAATTATTTGTGCTGTAAAATAAAGCCAAAAGGGAAGAAGTAAATTGAATGTGGACAGTTCATTCATGGCTGCATAACTCTAAAATCAAAGTTATAAGGAATTCCCATATTTACATTTTATCATATAGTTGCTCCATTAATACAAAAAAAACCCCTAATAATTAGGGGAAATTGTGTATTGCTTCTATTTTATTCCCATTAAATCTGAAAACGTATATTTATTTAAATAGGGTGCCCTCATCATTAATGTAATACATTTAATTTTTGGCTGGTGGTCAGTGGGAAGAATGCAGCATCCTGCCCACTGTCCTGAAATGTAAATTCTACTTCCCACTGACCACCAATGTAAAGAACATTAATACCACCCACCAAGTCATTGTTTCCACTGAATTGCCTCCAAGAATTGTCTTTATTTTTGTACATATTGTCATGGCTGTGCTTTTGTTGTCTTTGTATTGGCACGATTGTTGCCCACATATTGTCAAAATTGTCGATTGGTTGCCCATGTATTGTCAAAATTGCCCATTTGTTGCCTACATATTGTCACTATTGCCCATTGTTGCCCACATATTGTCATGATTGCCCATTAGTTGCCCACAAATTGTCACGATTGTCCATTACTTGCCCACAAATTGTCACAATTGTCCATTGGTTGCAGGTGTATTTTCACAATTGCCCATTGGTTGCCCAAGCATTGTCACAATTGCCCTTTTATTGAGTATGCATTGTCACGATTGCCCATTGTTGCCCATTTATTGCCACAATTGAATGCTGCCTGTACACTGTAAGGACAGCCATTTGTTACCCATGTATTACCAGGATTGCCCATTTGTTGCCCACAGATGGAAATAATTGACTGTTTGTTGCCAACATATTGTATACGGTTGCCCGTGTATTGTCAGAATTGACATTCTTTGCTTACATATTGTCAAGTGAGCAATATTTAGAAAACCATGTGACTATAAATAATATTACTATAATAAAATAATAATACAATATTATTAATCCACTACAGGCTTCTTGCTATCAAACCGCACTGCTGTTATGCCCATGTTTCTCCATAACCAATAATGTGTAATTCTATTAAACCCTTAAATGTTATTTTATATTTTACTGACATGATTTATATGCAACATTCAGCTTCCGTTGTCTCCTTTTCTTTTCTGTCCATTATTATTTTTTGTTTAATTCCATGATTATTACTGAAAATAATTATAATGTTCAGAGGAGGGGGACGATAACCTGCCTTGGATGTCAAACACACTCCACTGTGTGTCCGGCCAGCATTAGGCCATCTATGTGCTGTATAACCACAATTTTGGATGCATAGTTGACCACAGAGATAAGGGTCAACTATTGTGTAATTGTGTATTGAAGCCTGCAGAGCAATGCAATCGAGATCAGTGCATTGCAGGTGCAATTTTCAGGCTCTAGTATTGTTTACATCTCAGCCCCAGGTCCCTACAGAGGTATGGATCTTTTGTTATAGGGCTGGAGGAGGTAAACAATGAACTGAGCTGGCACTCTATGAGTTTCTCTGCCCTGCTGGCTGGGCCTGAGAATGGATGATGCAGAACTATGCACAGCCACGCTAAATTTGAAACACGTCCTCCAAGGAAAGCACTGTTCTCCAGCATTGTTTACATCCCAGCCCCAGGTCCGTATGAAGGCATAGATCTTTTGTTATAGGGCTAGAGGAGGTAAACAATGAACTGAGCTGGAGCTCTATGTGAGTTCTTCTGCCCTGGTGGCTGGATCTGAGAATGGATGATGCAGAACTATGCACAGCCACGCTAAATTCGAAACACGTCCTCCAGGAAAAGCACTGTTCTCCGGCATTGTTTACATCCCAGACTCCGGCCCATACGAAGGCAGAGATCTTTTGTTATAGGGTTGGAGGAGGTAAAGAATAAACTGAGCTGGCGCTCTATGAGTTCCTCTTCCCTGGTGGCTGGATCTGGATGACACAGATCCATCCAGAGCCATGTTAAATTTGAAACAGGATTCTCCAGGGAAAGCATAGATGCCAACAGTCCTACATCTTGGTGCTCTGTCCCACTGATGCTGTGTCCCAAGATCACAGCATCATCCTTATTTCAGTTACTGAGCATACTAGTGGGTATCACTGAGTGAATTATGACCGCAAGTTAGAAGTCCCTGGAGGAGAGCGTGGTATGTGTCGGCCATGAGCGAGGGTGCCATGGTCCTGGGACGAAAATGTTGAAAAGTATGGGTATTTCAGTAAGTGGAAAGGGGGCAGTGTGAGGGTGCAGGATGTTATTCATATTACACAATAAATACGGTTGTAACATAAACCATATTCACATTAGTGGAGTATGCCGTTAAGAATGTACACCTTACTTAAGGCAGTTTTAACTGATTGCGCCGTAAACTACATTTACCTCTGCTGTCAGCTAGGATTCTGATTGGCTAAGCGAGAAAGCTCCAGCCAATAGTAAAGCATACTGCCCCAGCGTCCAGGCAAAGGATAGGTTAGCCGCGTCCTGAGCTCCCCACCCTACACACAGCGAGATGCACGCCTCTGTCTAGAGAAGAAGGAGCACAGCGCCACCTAGGGGCTCCTACGCTGCAAAACAGATCGGGAACTGATAGTACTCCTTTGGTGGCTTTCTGTTGGATGTCCGTGGTGAGGGGGGTGTGGCTCTGTGCAGTGGACGGGAAAGCTGTGATGGCACTGTCCGGTTGTGTGAGGTACGGTGAAGGTGAGCACTGGGCGCTGTGAGGTGTTGGTCATGGCACTGATCTTCCTTCCCTAGCTGACTTCCTGACAGCAACCAAAATGTATGGTAGACCTTGTGCCTTGTGACCTTCGACATGCTGGTGAAAGGGTTTTCTAAGAGTGCCGTCGTTCCTGGTCACCGACAAGGTGGGCACATCAGCTCTTTAAAGGCATAGTCCACCGTTTAAAAAAATATATAATAAATGCACTCACATGAATAAAAATGTGCATTTCTTACATAGCTA